AAATTATATTTCTAGTAATTCCACTAAAAAGCAAAATGGGATCCCAATAGGGCCATGGGGAAGGCGATACAAGGAAGAAAATAGTGCCAATAAGAGTGCATTAAAAAATTATGATAAAACGTATATAGTAAATTTTATAATTTTTACAATTTTTAACAGCTTTGCTAGTTTGGTGGCATTAAGTACATTTATGTTGTTGTGAAACCATCACACCACCCATCTTTAAAAATTTTTTCCCCAAACTGAAATTTCCTATTAAACACTAATCCTGAATTCTTCCCTCTCCCTACCCCCTGGTGACTACCATTCTACTTTTTGTCTCTATGAATTTGACTACTCTAGGTACCTCATATAAATGGAATCATAGAGTATTTGTACTTTTATGAATGGCTATTTCACTTAGCATGATGACATTAACATGTCACTTAGACATTATGTTAATTGAAATAAGCCATCCATGCCATAGTATGTGTCAGAATTTCCTCACTTTTTAAGGCTGAAAAATATTTTACCGTATGTACACACCACATTTTGTTTATCCATCTGATATGGTTTGGATCTATGTCCCCACCTACATCTCATGTTGAGTTGTAGTCCCCAGTGTTGGAGATAGGGCCTGGTGGGTGGTGATTCGATCACGATGGTGGTCCTTCATGAATGATTTAGCACCATATTCTTGGTGCTGTTCTCATGATAGTGAGTTATTGCAAGGTCTCATTGTTTAAAAGTGTGCAGCACCTCCCCCCACCCCCTGCTTCTGCTTCCACCGTGTGAGATGACTTGCCCTCCTTTTGTCTTCTGCTATGATTCCAAGTTTCCTGAGCCTCCCCAGAAGCTCAACAGATGCCAGTATCATGCTTCCTGTATAACATGTATAGCCTGTGGAACTATGAGCCAATTAAACCTCTTTTCTTTATAAATTACCCAGTCTCAGGTGTTTCTTTATAGCAAAGCAAGAACGGACTAATACACCATCCACTCCTCAGTTAACATTTGGGCTGTTTCTACCTTCTGGCTATTGTGAACAATGCTGTTATAAACATGGGTGTAAGAGTGCATTTTAAAACTGGCTACCAAAGTGGGCAACTAGAATTTAATTCCATGGAAAACTCTGTGGCCTTGTCTATTTTACAGAGACTTCTACCAGTCACTTGTGGAGGGCTGCTTGGTGGGGTATAAATTTCTGAGGACTTCCAGACTGCTTCAATAGGAGCAGGCAGATCAATCTTCTATAGTTCTTGCACTGATGGCAGCAGTTACAAGAACCTTTCATATAACTTGTACTCACAGCCATTGGTTTTAGATTCAAGATTTTTCTCCTTAATTACATCTTAATACACAGCTTCTCAATTGTGCCTTAATGAGCAGCTTCTCAATTATTCTTCCTCCTTCCAGTCTCTGTTCTCCTCATACTATCCTCCACAGTGCTGCCAAAGGCATTTTTTTTTCCTTTTGTGAGACAAGGTCTTGCTTTTTTGCCCAAGCTGGAGAGCAGTAGCACAATCCTGGCTCACTGCAGCCTCTAACTCTTTGCTCAAGAGTCTCCTACCTCAGCCTTCCAAGTAGCTGGGAGTAGAGGCATGTACCACCATGCCTGGCTATTTTTTTTTCTTCTTGTAGAGAATAGTTATTACTATGTTGCCCAGGCTGAAAAGTAATGTTTTTCTGAAACACAGATTTGAGCATGCTTTTCGAGGAAAAAGGCTCAGATTTGAGCCTTTCCTTGAAAACCTTCTGTAACTACCCCTGGTCTGTAAAACTAAGTCCTTCCCTCTCTTCATTGTTTGGTCCAGCCACACTTCTCTCCCACTCTTTTCATATACACCATCACAGACCATACTCTTTCACCAACTTGAACTTTCCTCATGCTATTACATAGGCTCTTAATATTCTTTCTCCACTTAGCAAAACCTGATGCACCCATCGAGGCACAACTCAAGATGATTTCCTTCGCTGAATTTTTCTCTAATCTCTCCTAGGCAGGACTAATTTTTTCCTCTATTTATTGGTTGATTGCTCCTCTGATGTAATAGCTATTATACTCCATTTTAATTACCTTCATATCTATGTCCCTAGATATCAAGCTGCTTGAGTCATTTTTGTGTCTTCAATACCATGTATGTTACTAAGTAAATGTTAGTTGACTGAGTGATTAGTTAAGAGACTATCAAAGCTCATCAAAAAAAAAAAAAAAAAAAAAAAAAAAAAAAAAAAAAAAAAAAAAAAAAAAAAAAAAGAGAACAAGCTTTATATTCTTGCCAGTCCTCCAATGAGTGGTCATCTGGCTTATGAATGATGTTAGAGAGAAATAAGTGAAAGAACTAAAATTCTTTTGAAATTATTGTGTAGGCCAATGTCAAATTTCACCACTAGAGAGAACCCTAGTGTTACAACATTTAATAGGAAACTGAAGGTGTATATAGGATTTAAAAAGTTTTCAGAAGCTTGTACCAACAGCAATATAAAGGCTTCCTTGTGAATATGTAGGAGCTGATGGTTATCACTTGAAAATTATCAGGGAACATTAACTCTGTATGTCTCGTAGTGCATATTCCAGGTAATGCTATAAAGGACTTCTGCATGTACCTTTTGTGTTAGTATGGGGCATTTATATTGTATAGACATACTTTATTTTATTAGTGTTTGGGTGATAGCCTAGAATGTAACTATTCTCGTTCTCAGGTAAAAATATGAAAAACTTAAGTCTTCTCATTATTCAGGCAAAAGCTTTAAAAACTACAGTTTTCCTTGAAGGCTGGACTCCTACAATGTGGATCTGGAATTAGGTAAACATTGTTGAAGTCCATAAACTGCCCCATGCAATGACTGTCTAGGGAAGCACAATGACAGGCATTGGAAAGAAAGATTTTGCTTTGTGTTTAGAACAAAACAGTGTGGCAAAAACAGCAGGACTCAGAGACAGTTCACAGTCTATTCACAGAGTTTACAGGACCTAATAGGATTCAAATATGGTCTTGAAGCTGGCAACAACTTTGAATGGGTATAGAGTGATGTGGATAGTCACCAGTACTGGCTAATATGTTTGAGTAAATATTAACAGGAAGGAAAAAAAGTTCCTGCCTTTGTGATAAAATTAGAGTGAATTTTGCAGTGAGCTACAACATAACAAGACATTCAAAATGGCTTGAGGAACTGAGCTTTATTGGAACAAAGAGTGTGGACACTGTTTACAACAAAACATTTCTGGGAAAACTTGGAATTCCCAAGACCTGAAGACTCCTCCAAGTTCTCAGTGTTAGTAAGGTTAATTTGGGGGCAGAACAGGAGCATGCTTTAGCTGCTATCAGGAAGTAGAAGAGCAGAGAAGAGCTGGGCGTGGAGGTTCCAGCTCAAAATTGGGAAGATGGAGAAAAGCCATCCCAAGTCCAGCATGAATAGGTTTTATAGCACCCATCCCCTCTATTTGCAGGAAGCAGGCCCCTAAAGGGAAGCATAGGATGCCCAACTCATGAGAATTAGACTCTCATGAGAGTCCTTTGATATCATGTGAAAACCATGATGGGAGAGAGAGACTGAGGGTGCAGCTCACCTTCCTGGCCAATGTTAAATCAGGAAACCTGTTTAGATCAAAAAATGACATTCCATTTTTTGGTCTCCCAAGGTCAGCCAAAATTTGCTGACATGCAGGGGCCCCTGTCTGATCTAGCAGGAGCCCAGAGCTATGGGAGTCCAGCTGGAGAAGAAGAGTCTGCAACTAGGAAGGGACTTCCTGTTGTGTGTCTGGGGTTTGGTAAGACACCATTTTGTATGTAGAGGAAAGGAAGAAAGTCATATCCCAAGAGGGTACTTAACCTTAGTCCTAATTCTAGGAGAACTAAGAGGGGCTGGGGCAGAAAGTCAAAGGGTCAGGGTAGAAAGATTGGATGCCACAAAGTATTACTGGGGCTCATTTTCCCCTTAGACACTTCTTGGAGGAAAAAATCCATGGGACATATTAGTAAGAAAGTATATAATTATTCCTGTTTTATGTGAAGATTGTAATTAAAAACAGTTTTGTTGTTTAATACAGCTTTCTAGGAAGTGTGGATCCTGGTAAATGATGACTCCCCTTACCCCCCTTTTATTCTGCTGAATCCCTAGGTGGCTTAGTTATAAAGCCAGGAACTATGAGCTGCTGATAGTCAAATCATCCTGACCAATTGAAGAAGAATTTGAACTTCCTTTGGCAATCCAGGAGAGAAGAGATTTGTGCCAAGGAGGTAGGATAAATGAGGGTTTGAGACTGGGTTAACTTGATTCAGGTTAACCTGAATCGTCAATAAACTCATGAATGAGGAGTTTTGTTTCTTTGGAGTAAAATGGCAATGTTTCATGTCTAGGCCTGTGGAAGAGACATAGTGTATAAGAATATAAAGGTCCACAGATAGAGGCAACTATGAAAATGAGAGCATCTTGCACTGACCTTGTATGTCTCAAGGATGTGGAGTTGAGTGATTCATGCCAACCTTAATCTAGCTCTGAAAGGGAGGCTGATCCTGGGTGACACTGGGTTACATAAGAACAATTTTGGTGAAATGGTTAGGTCAGATGCCAGATATGGTCCACTGCAGAGTGAATCAGAAGTCAGAATATGGCCGGGCACGGTGGCTCAAGCCTATAATCCCAGCACTTTGGGAGGCCGAGGCGGGTGGATCACGAGGTCAAGAGATCGAGACCATCCTGGTCAACATGGTGAAACCCCGTCTCTACTAAAAATACA